TGTTTTTAATATAAATTAGATAAGATTTAAAATCATGGGAATAAATTAAAGAAATGTAAACTCAAACTAAAAAATATTTTGTATTTTGATTATCTGTAAGTGTAATTATCTAATTTGCTAAAAAATCTATATTTCAGCTAGTTGTGCATTTTTATGAGTTACTTATCCTATATTGATTATGTTTAATTTTGGGTTAGACATTTTATTCAAAATCTTATTTGGAGAATGATCTAGTTTAGAAAATGGTGTGTTTATATTAAAGTTATTAACTTGATTTAAAATTTAAGGTTAGAACTTTGTATCTATTTATATTTAGTGTCTTTGAAAGTAACTATCTTGTTTTACAGTTTTGATAAAAAAAAATTTATATAATATTATTTTGTATAATACAGTTCTTCGATATAATAAAATTCTTCTATATAAGTATAGGGTTTGATCCACGCTACTAATAATTATTTTTAATATTTTAAATATAATATCTTACTTATATAATAATTGTTTGAATGTAATGTTATAAATTTATAAGATAATTTTTATAAATTGCTTATGATGCATTTGAGATTGGTGTTATTTTATATGAAATATTATGTAATTATCCATTTTTTGTATGGTCTTTGTTAGTTGTTTCTTTTATATTTTAAACAGTAGGGGAATTATAATTATGTTTTATGTATTTTTTATTTGTTGTGTGTGTGGAAGTTATAAGTAGTTGTTTTTCTTTTGTGTTGTAATAGAAAGTAGAAGCGAATGAGTGAGAATTTGTTTATTTGTTTGCATTTTGTTCTTATTTCATTTCGTAATTAGAAGTTTGAACATAAATTTAAATGCAAAACTTGATAAAATAGACATAATCTTTATGAATCCTTCTTTTGTCTTTTTCAATTGCTTATTTTTATCGTGAGAAGGTTATGAATTTTAAAAATCCATTTAAAATTCTAATCTTTGACCCGTTTACACAAAAAGGCAAACAATCCAAGCAAGCTTAGCAAGGCAAACACATATAACTTCATCGAATCTTCGACTGGCAAAAAACGTCTTTCTCTGGATATTCGTGACCTATAATTTGTGTAGATGAATAAAACGGCCAGCCTCCAAAGCTTGGATACATCTCATATAGAACGGTATGTAAGCTTACACTTGTGATCATGGTCATATCATGGCATTTTTCTCTGACAGTTTTGGAAAGGGAAACTGGAAAAAATGTTTAACTTTGTTACAATGATTTGATGAGCAGATTATGAAAGAGCATAACTAAAACAGGTGATTAAATAGCAGAATTTATCTATACAGGATGTAGTAAAAGGAAGAAGTTCATAACAGGGGACGCCATATCCAACATTGTCAATTATTTAAAACCGACCATTTACGAAAACATGAGCTTTCGTCAAGTTTTTTAGGTCACCCACAAAAAGACATGTTTAGAAAGTAATCCAGATTACACTATCTCTTCTACAATGTTTCTTATCTTGAAATAAATGTATACTAAACGAAGATAAAACGCCATCGAATATTAAGATATTTAAGAAAAAAATCACAAAGATATTAGAAACACAAACGGCGCAAATTTATTGAGTGAATGAAGGAACTTTAAAAGAGAGATCTCAGTTTTGTAGAAAAATTAATGATACAATTTTAAAAATGTTTTGATTCTTACTTGATCCCCTAATGCCTCATTGGGATCAGTTTTACTCAAACGATGCCTCTGGATAACAATACAAACCCAATAAACCGGATGCACAAAACAACATGATGAATTCAATATATATATGTCATACCAATTTCAGAAACTCATAATATGAAACAATGTATCTTACCTTTCAGTAGCCTGACTTCTCTTCCAGCACAAGATAATGAAACTATGTCAATATATTATCTGATGGAATTTAAAAATGAGAGTGGAAAACTGAGGAGGTGGAAAGGAGCTTAAGAAAGAGATTATGGCTTTGTGAAAGACGATGGGTTTAGTTTAGGGATGAGTCTCTGTTTTAAATAGGGTTTTGTGGCATAACGTTTTTAGGAGGAGCCGAAGAGGTGTTTTCTGAAATTGATTGCGAGAACTATACATGTTGGCGTGGGAAATCAGAGGTTACATTAGATATATTTAAAGGGTTTTAATTGTTAAGAAGCTTAAGTAGATTTTGTTGGGCTTAGACGTGTTTTAGGAAGAGCTGATTAGAAGTGATTTACAATGAGAAGGTGCTGATGTGGCATGATTTTGGAGCATTTTGTCTTTGTTGTGTCTTGTAGTCAGCATTTTCTGGTTTTTTTTTTTTCTTCAGGTGGTTTTGTGGTCGTTTTATTCTTTCTTACGAACTCGTTTGTTGATATATGGCGTTTGTAGTTTTCGTTAAAGGGGGAGCTCTTTATTTTGTAATCTAATAATTTGTGCTAATTGCATATTATTGATTAGTGTTAATTGATTTGTTTGTTATTGAGAATCGTAAATTGGGGAGTGATATTATGTTGTCTTCTGTGAATTTGTTAAGTAGTATTTCTCATATCATTTTTTCTCTTATTTTTATTTGTAGTTTATTAGGAAGCTGTTTTGAAAAGTATCCAGATTTGTTTCTTCATTTTAATGATTAAATATTTTGTTAATCGATTGTTAACTATAGAAAACAATATTTAGCACCTTGACAGGATTGCCAGTTATTATATTGTTGGAGTGATAAAGATCATCATCACGTACATGTAAGGAGATTATAGGATGATAATAATTTTTGGTGTTGTAGGTTTTCTGCAATTTAAATTATTTAAAATATGTAATTGAGGAAGTATTCGGTCGCCTGGTTTATATAGTCAAGTGTTATGCGAAAACATGTTTGTTTTGTATGCAATTTTTGTTTTACTTGTTTGAGACAGAAATGAGTTATTTTATAATGGGCTGTTACAGATGTGTTTAATTAATATAATTATTGGTTTCTAACTTGTTGATTTTTTATTTTTATTTTTCAAGCTTTAGAAACTGATGCCACGTGGCATTGTGGAAGAGAGTTTTTTTTGCTTAGGTGGATAGCCTAAAGAGTCCCAAATAGTCCATTTTATTTAGTATAGATATATAGTTAGCCTTGCATATTATTTGAACTCTCTTCTTTTTCAGCTTCTTCTTGTTCTTAAACGCTTTTTCTTTCTTTCAAACTTGTTGCGTTTTTCTTTCAAACTTGTTGCGGAAAATAGAATACATATTACAAAATTAATAAGTAGTTAAAGTACTGTATAAAAAGCGGCTGTTCTACAGGATATAAGAAAATTGTTCTGGAGGCTATAAGAAAATGACACTACAATAAAAGTGTGATGCTCTATTTTCATAATTAATAAGTAGTTAAATACCATGCAATAAAAAGAAAAAGAGCATCATAACAATTTTCATAGAAACTAGGTATTTATCCGTGTTATGCAGCAGGATATTTTTCTAAATTTTGTATATATTTTTAATATAATAAAATTATTTTTATAATGTAAATGAGTATTATATTTTTTTTTATTAGCTTAAGTTATGTATTTATATGTCTTAAATTTGAATAAATATTATATATTTTTTTTAAAATTATAATTTACTATTAAATTTAGTTAGCTAACTAATTATAAATATATATAAGAATAAAATATATAAAAATAAAGCAATATATTTTTAGTACCTTCATGCTAATTGCAAATGTAATCTATTTTCTCTAATAAATTGCCACATGATCCTCCTTTGTGATTATATAAAGCAAAATACCATTTAAAAAAGATTTATTAATTAATATAATTATTTTGAATTATAAATTTATTTATTTATCAAATATTTTATTATAAACATATGTTTCTAAAAACTAGCAAACTATAATCAATAACATTCATATCAAAACTATTGTTATTGCTTTAGAACTAAATAGAAAATTATGTTTAAACTCTTAAAATATTATTTTAGTTAAAGTTAAATAATTAAATTTTGGTTACTGTAAACATACTTTAATGGAAATTTAGCACTGAGAAATTTCTTTTTCTTACAAAAATCGAGAAATCGCTTTCCCGTCAAAACAAAAAAACTTTATTTTCCTATTAAACTGAGAAATCGGCTATTCCCGCCAAAACCAAAAAAAAATCATTTTCTCGTCAAACCTAAAACCTAAACTTTCATTTTCCCGCGGAAACCTGTGTTTTTCCACCAAAGCCGAAAAATTACGTTTTTTTCACAAAAACCAAAAAGTCTCATCTTCCTGCAAAAACCAAAAAAAAAATTGTATTTTCCTGTCAAAATCAAAAATTATTTTTCCTGCGAAAACTGAAAAATTGTCTATTCCTGCAAAAAAAAAAAAAATCATTTTCTCGTCAAGCGCAGAATCACGCTTTCCTACAAAAACAAATAAACTACAATTTCTCGCAAAAACCAAAAATTGCATTATCTCCCGTGAAATTGTGTTTTCCCGCGAAACTAAAAATTGTTATGTTTTTATCGGTTCAAATTTTTGCTGATGTGTGAGCTTCTTATAACATAAGGTTTTTTGTTTTGTTGTCATGGAGGCATAGTTGATGCTGAGCCTACACTTTTCAATCATATATGTCTATGTCAAACAAACAGATAGCTAGAATTTTTTTTAATTATTTATTTGTTGTTATTTATTATTTGGATTTGGTTTTGGCAAAAAAAAAGAAACAATGATTTAATTTTTTAATTTTTTTATTTATTATTTGGGTTTGAATTTAGCAAAATAAAAATAATAATTTTTTTATTTGCTGTTATTAATTATTTGGGCTTAGATTTGGTAAAAAATAAAACAAAAATTAATAGAAAAAATATTTGAGTTTTTAATGGGTTTAAGTTTAAAAATTAAAATAAGTAGATGACATGTATTAGTAAAATATTTTGATTGGTGATTATTTTTGCTGAGGTGTCATGTTTATAAAGCTTAAAAAATGTGAAGTGTCAAGCTATGAGAAACTTTAGTGTTTGTTATTGTTATGTTGATAATTTGGATGTTAACATGTCAATTCTTAGTATTCGACAATTTACCATCTCATTGTGACCACTATTAATTTAACTTAGTCCAAATTATCTACATGTGTGTGTGTGTATAAATTCATTATTTCATGCAAAAGAATATACAAAACATCTTAAAAGGGAAAAGAAGAAAAAGTAGCAAAAAAAAAAAAAAATTCAATACTAATAACTAAGGTACAAATCTGGACTGGTCACGAGTCTCTCGACTTCCCCAGCTACTATGTGACTGTGACCGATCAAAGAAGTCAGAACTATAATCCTGACTCCCAAAAGCCATTCTCTGAAACATCCTTATCTGAGCAGATTGTTGTCTCGAGTCGAACACTTGGCTCTGTCCCGGTCTCATCCCATTCGTTATGTCACTAGCTTCTTCAAGTGTGTCCAAAGCTCTCACCACTTGGCTCATCTTTGGTCTTTTCGCAGCTGAGTGACGAACGCATGCAGCCGCAGCTTCCACCATTCGAAACATCTCTCCGGGAACGAAGTTGTTCCCTAGCCTCGGATCCACTAGCTCCTCGAATTCTTCGTTCTCGATTGCTTGACTTAACAAGGGCCTTGCCTGATGAACAAGAGGAGATTTAAAGAACACTCATGAGGAGATTCAAGAAATGTGACAAAAGTTGAAACCAATTAACTCTTGACTTACCCATTCAACAAGGCTTTCGTCACCAAGTGGCTGAGATGTATCTACAGGTTTACGGCCAGTTATAAGCTCCAATAGTATTACTCCATACGAATATACATCGGCTTTTTCAGATAGCTTTCCGCTTGTTGCATATTCAGGAGCCATGTACCCGAATGTTCCCATTACACGTGTTGAGACATGAGTGTTTAAATCGAGTTCTTGCGCGATTTTAGCTAGCCCGAAATCCGCAACCTATGGAAACGAACTTTCTTAAGTAGTTTAGTGTTTGTGAATCAAGATCTGTTCAATGACTTAGAGTAAAAGCTAATATGATGTTACCAAGGCTTCAAAGCTGTTATCTAGAAGTATGTTCGAAGATTTAATGTCACGGTGGATAATCCGAGGATGACCTGATCAAATAAAAGCATAATCATATGAAGGTAACAAGATCAAGAAAAGCAGATAATATGATGGTAACAAAATCAAGAGAAACAGACCATATGATTGTGTAACAAGATCAAGTTGCAGATCATATGAAGGTAACCAGATCAAGAACAGCAGATCATATGTTGTAACAAAATCAAGAAAGGCAGATCTTATGATTGTAACAAGATCAAGAAAAGCAGAATTCTATGATGGTAACAAAATCAAGAAAAACAGATCATATGAAGGTAACAAGATCAAGAAAAGCAGATCATATGAAGGTATTAAATTCAAGAAAAGCAGATCATATGAAGGTAACAAAATCAAGAAAAGCAGATTCACAAGAAGGAAACGAAATAGAGAAAAGCAGATCATACGAAGGTAACAGAATCGAGAATACTATACAGAAACCAAAAAGCTAAGCAGTAAACTTACAGTCTTCATGTAAGTAGGCGATTCCACGAGCTGCACCAGCAGCGACTCTAACCCGAGTTTCCCAAGTCATAACCGGTCTTCCTGGAGCTGCAAAGGCACAGGCTTTGACGTTGACATAGTTGTAAAAAAGATAACTTTATGGTTCAAGAAGATGAGGTTGTATATGTATGTACCATGGAGATGGTAATGGAGAGTGTTGTTTGGTACATAATCATATACAAGCAACCTATGTTGCTCCGAGATGCAGTAACCGACTAATGTAACCAAATGTCGGTGATGAACCCGAGAAATGATCTCGACTTCGGCTTTGAACTCTCTCTCTCCTTGACTTCCACCGATCTTCAACTGTTTAACTGCTACTTCCCTTCCGTCTGCAAGAACGCCTTTGTATACACAACCAAACCCTCCTTCGCCGAGGAGATTCTTCTCGGAGAAACCACCAGTGACTTGAGCTAACTCGTCGTATGAGAACCATGATCTTTGGCTGCCACCCATGCCTGAATCAGAGGACGCATACATGTAGTCGTTACCAGAATGGCTTCTCATCTTAGGTGCTGAAGAATGCGAGTTGAAGAGCACTACATCTGTCAAACACGGGGTTTCAGTTACATATATGGTTCTTGTATCCTAGAAAGAATGTATAACCACAGCATTGCACAGACAAAACACAATGACACAATAGCAGAACCTAACTCCAGTACAAGTATTTGATCAGATACAGAACTATCAAGACATAAAGCCAAATCAGCAGCCACAATACAGTGAGTGTCTCATGCTTAATAAGTTCTGAAATGAACCTTACCACTCACTTACACAATGTACAGACGAGACACAAAAGCACACTACATTAGAAGTGTATGATGAGATGTAGATTGATCAAGACATTAAGCAACATCGAGCAGCCAAAACTCAATGAGAGTTTCATGTTATATATGTTTCTGAAACTAACCAGACTTCTCACTACACTCAAATCAGCAGCCCCAACACAGAGTGAGTTTCATGCTTATTAAGTTCTGAAATGAGCCTTATCACTCAATTACACAATGTACAGACAAGACACAGAAACACAATGTCAGAACTGAACTACTTTAGAAGTGTATAAACATATGCAGATTGATCATAGGCATTCACCAAAATTAGCAGCCAAAACTTAATTAGAGTATTATCATGCTATTTATGTTTCTACAGAGTATTTATTTAGACTATTCAACTACACAGTGTCGTTACAGAATCTGAGGATGCATATTATATTACCTGAGCCTTGAGGAGACGAATAAGCAGAAGGAGGCATAGTGTATCCAACAAAGGTACCAGGATCCTTTCTCTTTCGTTTCCGAGTAAACCACACAGCCAACACAAAAAGGCTAAGCAGAATCAATCCAACAATCACTCCAATAGCTGCAAGACCTCCAGTGCCAACACCTCCTCCATTTCCCGATGAACCGGATTGCGGAGAAGTGTTGTTTCCGTTGCTTGAAGGTGGTCCAGTTGGTTTAGCAATTGGTTTCTCTCTGGGAACAACAGGTAATGGAGTTGGAGGAGGAACTACAGTAGAAGGATCCTTGGGAACTGAAGCCGGAGGAGGAGCAGAGGTGGTTGAAGGAGGTGGTGGAGGAGAAGTGGTTGCTGGAGTTGACGGATTTGACGGAGATGGTTTAGGAGGAGAAGGTGTATCCGCCGGCGGCGAAGGAGAAGGTTTAGGCGGAGGAGGGGATGTTATTGTTGCCGGAGGTGAAGGAGAAGCATCAGGGGGTGGAGGAGGTGAGACAATTTGCGGAGGAGCGGGTGGTGTTGTCGCCGGAGTTGATGGAGGAGGGGAAGCAACCACCACAGGAGGTGGAGGAGGAGAAGAAACGACGGTGGGAGGTGGTGAGGAGACGACGGGTGGTGACGGTGGTGGAGAAGAAGACGGTGGAGGTGATGATATAACCGGTGGTGGTGGCGATGATGCTGCTACGGGCGGCGGTGTTTGCGGCGGAGAAGGAGGAGGTGTGATCGGAGGTGGAGCTGATGGAGTGGTTGGCTGAGACGGCGACGGAGGAGGTGCGGTGGTTGAAGAATTTGACGACGGTGGCGTTAAAATCGGTAGAGGAGGAACCAAACTCATTCTCTGATCGCACGAATCGCAAGCAGTAAACTTTCTTCAAAACATCTTGTTATCGATCCATTTCCACGAAAATCAACACAAACTTGAAGCTTGTAAAGAAAACCTAATTCAACTATTACCGCAAAAAATGTCAAATTCCAATTATGCGGCGTAGGATCTACCTGAAGTCAACCTACTTAAAAATCAACCTAATTTCCCAAAATCCTGAAAGATTCGCGCTACAATTTCACAACCCAGAAGGAAAAATTCTACCTTTAAACCAGAAAACTAAGCCCAGATTAAGCTAGAAGCGAATCAGAGTAGTAAAGCCCTAACTTTCCCTAGAAAGTCGGTAACCCAGACGGGAAAGATTCGAGCTTGGAACACGAAATAAACCCAAAAGCATCCAAATGCGAAATTCAGAGCAGACCCAGGTGAAGAAACAGTGGAAGATTCGAAAATGGAGGAATAATCGAGAAGCAAAAAGTAGAAACAAAAGTTAAGTGAGGTAGAGAGAGAGGTGGAGGAATGTGGTGAAAGCGGAGAGCGTGATTCTTGCTGGACAAACGTGGAGGCAACTCTGTCTCTGGTCCGTATATTTGACAGAGCGATGAGAGAAAGAGAGAGAGAGAAAAAGAGAGAGAGAGAGAGAGAGAGAGAGAGAGAGAGAGACAAAGAGAGAGAGAAGAGGAGAGAGAGTCGGACATGTGCGGAACATTTTCGTCTTTTTCTTCATTGACTTGAGTTTCTTTTTTTCCCAAATTCCAAATCTCAATTAATCAAATTATTCCCACATAATAAACCACACAAAATTACGCGTATTTTATTGATTTTTTTCTGAGAAAACTGAAAAGCATGCATTAAATATTTTAAGAAAATAAAAAGGAGAGTGAGTTACTATTTTCACGAGGAATAAATTTTAAATTAGAAGGAAAAAAGTGGGTAGGGTCGAAAAGGAATAATAAAAGAGAGGGAGAAAAAAGGTATCCATGGTAAAATTACAGAGAAAAACGTGTATGGTGTGTATTCACATGTGCACGCTAATCATGGTGATATTTGAAACTTTGTGCGCATGTTTGCTCCCTAAATTTCCTCTTTTATTGAACATATATTTACTGGATTAAAAATATCGACGCATGTTAACGGCTATTTCAATATTCTTTTAAACAAAATTTATAACTTTCAGCATTGTTTTGTTGTTTAAGGTTATTCAAATTTTAAAAAAAAATAACTTTTACACTATGACTTTGTGAATCATATATACTACAGTTCTTAAAAAGAAGTACTCTGTGAATCATACTGAATTCAGGAGAAGTCTTAAAAAGAAATTATTATGACTTGATTAGTTCGCGTTTAAATAATTTAGTGGCAATCCTGTAATTATTACCAAAGCTTCTTTTATCCCTATGGATTAGTTCGCATTTTAATAATTTAGAGATACATTGATAACAAAGCTAAGTTTTTGGTCGAAATTCGAATGCCAAAAAGGAAAAAACATCAAACCAGTTTACATTATGTCACAAAACTGTTGTTATGCTATGGAAGATCAAGTTCTTAACTCATTCCAAATTTAAAGATCTTTAAGAAGATATTCCATTTCACAAGATCACATATAGTAAGCGTCCACTGGAAAGAATAAAACGCTAAAGGATCATATCAAGATAAAATCATACTCCCTCCGTTCTATAATGTATGATTTTTTAGATTTTTTACAAGTTTTAAGAAGCAATCATTAATTATTCTTTTCAGTTACTTTTTTATTTTAATATTCCTTTATATTAGTTATTTTAATGTATATTCTCTCTTTCCAAGAATAAAATGTTCTCCAAAAAAGAAATAGATTATATATAATCTAAAAAATCAAACTTTGTGAAACAAATTTTTTTTCTAAAACATCAAACTTTCTGGAACGGAGGGAGTATTAAGAAAAAGCGGTATATTAGAGTAATTAATGTATGTTTTGATTCCACACTTTAGATTATATCTTCATACAGAAAAAAAATTTTTGACGAATGTTGTGTTGTAGATATGCTGAAATAAATGCTTTTAAAAGGAAGACTAGATTTTTCGCTCTCTGACACTTGTCCCGAGAACGGTTCTTAACCGCTGGCTCTCTAGATACACACTTTTCAACCACTTTTCTTTACCAAAAATAGCAAGTTTTTTCAAATTTCCATCCCTTGAGAGTTGCGCCTCCGCGGTTCCACCCCCACCCCCGGGTCGGAGGGTCCGCCACATCCACTAGAAACCACCATGGAGAACCACACTCAACCCCCGAGGACCAAGCGTCGTCCAATACTCCCATCGCCAGTTCAGGAAGAATTTATCCTTTGTCCAGCAGACGGGCTTGAGCTTGCTATTGACCTCATCCAAGGCAGCACTTTGGTCTAGTTAACCTACCCACATCCCGCCTACCCCACAGTGGGGAACCTTACAACTTGTAGTTCACTCGCATACTCTACCCGCAAGATCTCAACATTCCAAATCGAAAGCCGCCTCCAGCGTATGCTCCTTGCTCCAACGAAATGGCTCACAGATACTCAACGGCGGAGAAAGGAAAGTGGATCCTTGTACCCTCCCAACAAGAGAGACGCACACCCATTAAGATCCCAGAGAGTGACAACTCTGCGCTCATTGAGGAAAATAAACTTATCCTGATAGGAAGAGTGATGAATCCGCTAGTCCAAAAACCTCACTGGGTAGTAGAATGGCTCTCTCAGTTCTGGAATCTCAACGCGGCTGTTGTGGGAAGACCCCTAGGTCCAGATCTGTTCAGCTTCAAGTTCGAGACAGAAGAAGACCTAGCAAACATTCTTCGCAAGTCCCCCTACCACTACAAGAGATGGATGCTCGTCCTCCAAAGATGGGAACCTGTCATCTCCAACGACTACCCCTCCTCCATCCTGTTTTGGGTCCAGATCCATGGGGTCCTGCTACACTACTGGCAAACAACAATATTCCACTCCATTGGGAAAGCTCTCGGTAGAATCGTTGATGAAGATATCCCAGAGGGAAGGCTATGTCTAGAACTCAACGGACTGAAGCCATTGGAAATGAAGCTACCAATCAGTCTACCTTCCAGGGAAGTCATCTGGATTACTCTAGAATACGAAAAGCTTGAAAAGCACTGTTTCCACTGCTACTCCCTCATGCATGAGGAAAAGGAATGCCCTCTGAAGCCCGCTAACACAACCACAGAACAAACTACCAGAGGAATAAACCAACTCAACACGGTTTCAACCCTAGAAGAATATAAACGGAGGAACCAGAATAGACTGGGAGACCTTCCACCAAGAAGACCTGAAGCTTCACAGAATAGAGAAATCTCCAGTTACCACCACAGAGATTTACAACCCCGGGAAAGAGACCAATCTCATTCTGACAACAGGAGAGACTGCTCTCCCAGGAAATCAAGAGTCTTGGAAGAGCGCCTCCGCTACCCACCTCATTGGGACTCTCACAGAAATGCCAGCTGTGAATACAACCGCCCAGATGACAGGGCTTCGAGCAGAGGAGACTCTCGGCTCCACTTGAAGGAAAGAACTCCTCAATACTTCAGACCCATAGCTCGGAACGACAAAGAACCCTCCTCTAAAGCGGGCAGCAAATCAGAAAATGCTGACATAACTAGCCCACCGAGATTCATTTCAGACATCCAAGGTAACTTGCACAGGACCACACCTCAACCCTCCCAAAGAACTCAAATCTCTCATACACCCTCACCAACCCCTTTAAGAGAACCTATGTTATTACCGTCGCATACGGAAGTAGGGGAAGGCATCATCCCATCAGCTCAACGCAGATCAGCCTTGGACAGAATTTCTTCACAAAGTCCCCCAGTCCCTCCAAGGAGCCACGAGGGATCTAGTCTGCTCTCTGAACGTCTCCAGGAAGTGGAAATCCAGTACGACGAAATCATTGGAGGTCAGACAAATGAAATCCGCTCTTCAGTAGAACATATTCATTCCTCCCTCCGCCTGGGAGCACCGACGACTTTGAAACGTAAACCTGCAAGACAAACCACAAAGAAAACAGCTTCAACCTCTAAAACAATAGCGAAGAAAAGATCCACAGGAGCCAAAGGAAAGTCAATCCAGAGCCCATTACAGGGAGCAAACACAAGGAAACGTCTAACTACCCTGAGAGTAACTTCATCAAGAAAACGCATAAACCAAGCAGAAACTACCACTTCAGAGCAATTACCTCACAATGAGGAAGCAGGCCAAACATCCAGGTTGCCCAAAGCCTCACCGAGGAGAGGAAGGGAGGATTTTCGAATCCCCCAAAATCCCCTTCCTTAGCCGTAGCAAGCTGGAACTGTCAGGGAATTGGGGCCACCCTGACAGTTCACCGGTTGAGGGAAATCCGCCTAACCCTCTTTCCAGACATCCTCTTCCTGGCAGAAACAAAAAACCACGATGACATGGTCCTGAATTCCCTCCAATGGATGGGATATGACCATCATTTCACCGTCTCCCCCATTGGCTCCAGCGGTGGCCTTGCCCTGTTGTGGAAGAAAGAAGTATATTTTAACATCCTGGACTCGTCACCAAACTTCATAGACACAAAAGTCGAAGCAAAAGGGAAAACCTTTTTCCTCACCCTCCTCTACGGACCTCCTCAGAAGGAAAATAGAGCCAACTTCTGGGAGAAACTAACCCTCCTTGGGAATGACAGGAAAACTGCTTGGTACCTCACGGGTGACTTCAATGAAATCCTAGAAAACACAGAGAAGGTGGGAGGACCAGCAAGAGGCGAAGGATCCTTCATTCCATTCCGAAGCTTTGTCTCCCAAACCGGCCTCTGGGATATAAAACATAGCGGTAACCCCCTATCTTGGCGAGGTCAGAGACACAATCACTTCATCCGAGCCAGATTGGATAGAGCAATGGCCAACTGCGAGTGGTCTGACCTCTTCCCCTCAGGGCGCTGTGAGTACCTCCGGTTCGAGGGATCAGACCATAGGCCCCTCATTACTTTCCTTGACGGAAATAGGGCCAAACGTCAGAAGCTCTTCCGGTTTGACAGAAGACTAAGATCGATGGAAGGGGTAAGAGAAGCAGTTGAAAAGGCCTGGCTTCCAGAAAAACCAGAATCAGTAGCCTGCAAAACAAACAGATGTAGAAATGAGCTGATAAAATGATCAAAGGAAAAGCAAAGAAATAGTGCGGAAACTATAAAAGACCTACAAAGCAACTTGGAAAAAGCCCTCTCAGCACCAACTCTAATTACCCACCTCATTGGGACTCTTTCGACTAAACTGGACCAAGCTTACAAAGCGGAAGAACTGTTCTGGCGCCAGCGAAACAGAGTCCAATGGCTACAAGGAGGAGACAAGAACTCAGCATATTTTCATGCAGTCACGAAGGGCAGAAGAGCGGCAAACCGGATTACGGTAATTGAAGACGATAAGGGTGAAGCAACTTATGATGAAGATCACATAGGCAGAGTCTTCTCATCCTTCTTCCAGGAACTCTTCACCTCCAATGGTACCTCGGATTTTAACAAAGTGTCAGAATCTCTAAATGTAAAAGTCTCACCGGAAATGAATGAAAAACTCATCGCTTTAATTTCTTCTGAGGAAGTTTGCCAGGCAACTTTTGCCACCCACGCAGACAAAGCCCCCGGACCGGATGGATCCTCGGCAGGATTTACCAATCCTACTGGAACATCATCGGAAATGACATTTGCAGGGAAACCAAACACTTCTTCTGCACGAGAAGCATGGAGCAGAACCTCAACAACACCCATGTCTGTCTTCTCCCTAAGAGCACTGCAGCGAGGAAACCAGCAGATTATCGTCCGATAGCCCTGTGCAACATCTGCTATAAGATCATTGCGAAGATCCTAACCAATAGGCTCCAACCAATCCTCGACTCGATCATCTCTGAACATCAGTCAGCTTTTGTCCCGGGAAGAGCCATTGCGGATAATGTGTTGATCACCCATGAAACCCTGCACTACTTAAAGTCATCAAAGGCGACAAGAAGATGCTCCATGGTAGTAAAAACAGACATGAGCAAAGCTTACGATAGGATAGAATGGGGATTCCTAAGAGAAGTACTACACAAACTGGGCTTTCACCTTACCTTTGTAAACTGGATAATGGAATGCATCACTTCAGTGTCATACTCTTTCCTCATCAACGGATCCCCCAACGGCAAAGTGCTCCCCACCAGAGGCCTCAGACAGGGTGACCCTCTCTCCCCTTACCTCTTCATCCTCTGCACGGAAGTCCTCTCAGGACTCTGCTCCAGGGCACAGAAGGCAGGAAGACTAAAAGGAATCCAAGTTGCCCGGAGTAGCCCCCACATAAATCATCTGCTCTTTGCGGATGACACACTATTCTTCTGCAGGACAAACGCATCTTGCTGCTCAGAACTGACCAAAATTCTGAAATCATACGAACGACTCTCGGGTCAACGTATAAACCTATCCAAGTCATCCATCACCTTCTCGGCAAAAACTCCTCATGAAACCCGAGTAAGAGTGATGAACTCTCTAGGAATTGAAAAGGAAGGCGGATCCGGGAAATACCTGGGCTTACCGAGAACTTCGGGAGAAGGAAGAAGGATATTTTCACGGGACTGGTAGACCGCATCCGCCAACGAGCACATAGCTGGACCACCAGATATCTCTCAGGAGCAGGTAAGCAAGTTTTACTCCAAGCAGTGCTCGCAGCCCTCCCGGCGTACACTATGACCTGTTTCAAGCTTCCCAACTCTTTATGCAAGAAAATTCAGTCCATATTGACCAGATTCTGGTGGGACTCCTCACCTGACAAAAGGAAGATCTCTTGGGTAGCATGGTCGAGACTAGCACAGCCAAAACGTGCTGGAGGCCTAGGCTTTAGAGAAATCGAAGAGTTCAACGTAGCTCTCCTGGCCAAACAAAGCTGGAAACTCCTGAAACACCAAGGAAGCCTTTTAGCGAGAGTGTTACTAGGCAAATACTGCAATGAGAAAAGCTTCATGGATGTTGAGTGTAAACCTGGAGCATCCCACGGATGGCAAGGAATCCTAGAAGGCAGGTCAGTTCTCAGGAAAGGATTAGGATGGGTAGTGGGGAATGGAAACACCATCAAAATTTGGAGCGACCCATGGCTTTCTGTCTCAACCCCACAAGCGCCTTATGGCCCCCCTACAAAAGAGAATGCAACCCTGTTAGTCCAAGACCTGCTCCATCATGAAACAAATGAATGGAATGTGGAAGCAATACAAGCTATATTACCTCAATATGAGGAACTGATCAGACAAATCATACCAAGTTCCCGGAAACCGGAAGACTCGCTGGTCTGGCTGCCTGCAAAATCAGGACTATTCTCAACTAAAATAGGATATAATCTACAAAAGAGGTTTAATCTACTTGGAGATCCAGAATTCAGTTGGTACCAATTCATCTGGAACCTCCACACGCCACCAAAGATCAAACACTTCCTGTGGAGAGCTTCAAGCGGGGCCCTACCAGTAGGAGTCACTCTTTCTAGGCGAGGAATCGAAGCAAACACCTCCTGCCTGCGTTGTGGCTTGACAGAATCAATCGCCCATATCTGGTGGGAGTGCCCCTTTGCACAATCAGTCTGGTCTCAAACCCCCATCTCTCCGAGCCCGTCCTCAATTGCAGTGAATCCAAACCCAAGAAGCATCCTCCGAGAGCTCTACAGAACCAAGAACATCCCGGTTACAGGAGTAACGATAACCCCGATCTATCCCTGGATTCTCTGGTTCCTCTGGAAAGCACGGAGCAAGCTCGTCTTTGAAGCAACAAGCACAGGAAGTCAAGACCTGGTGACGAAAACACTAGTCGAAGCCCAACTCTGGCAAACAGCAAACGTCACCAGTGAGACCCAACCAAAGACCAATCAAGCAGCGAGACACTACCCTCTCCGCCCCTCAGCCTCGATCTGCTTCTCGGACGGAGCTTGGAATGCTGCGGATAAGACGGGGGGCATGGGATGGACCCTCCAAGACCCATCGGGCTCCCTGTTACTCCAGAACTCCTCGGCAAGATGTTTCACAGCATCTGCTCTGGTTCCAGAAGCATTAGCCATCCTCGGGGGTTTAAGAGAAGCTATAGCACTAGGAATCAGAGATCTCCACATGCATTCGGACTCGGAAGTCCTCATCAACATCCTCTCAACAGGATCAGAGATGATCGAGATTGCAGGCATTCTTGACGACATCAGAAGCCTTGTCTCTCGCTTCACCTCCCTTTATTTTAGCCATATAGGCCGTAAAGATAATGTATCAGCAGACAGGCTTGCTAAGACAGCCATTTTAGCTCTCGGCCCACTGAGCCATATATGAACATCTTTTAATTAATGTACCGGTTGACCAAAAAAAAAAATATTTTTAAAAGAAATGCTGAAATAAATTACTAGATATACTGAAATAAATGCTGAAATAAATGCTTTTAAAAGAATCGAAATGTCTAAAACATTATTTAGAATTTTTTCTCAAAGTATATATTCTATTTTTTTTTTGTCAAATACACTTTATTCAATATTAATATCTCTGTCACAGATATATACATTTTATTCTTGGTACAAGCACGAGTTAAACCAAGTAAAGATCAAAGAGGAAGGAAACCTAAGATGGTTAAAGTCGGTTTAATAGTTTGCTACGTTTCAAACTTGTATACGAGGAAATGAGCTGCGTGTGCTCAACGCATCCTTGTCTTGGTCAATAGACGCTGATTGATATGAACTCGTAAATATCGCTTGTCATCTTTTTCTCAAATCTCTGTTTTTCATCTTTTGCTTGAGTGATTCGATAGTGTTGACAAATGTTTATTCATGTGTGTGGTAATTGGTGAAGATTTGAGCATTGTAACAATTGTGAGGTATTTTTGAAAATGTTTTGTTTTATATGAGACATTGTATCACTTATTTAAGTTGTCTTCTCCCTCACACGTACTCTCTATTTCAAAAGCCATAAGAAAACCCTAACATCCTTCACACGTCAGGTTTGGAAGATTGGGACTTTGGAGCTAAACAACATGAGGAACCTTGGACAAAGACTCTCGTATCTTCTCTTCACTGAATGATAAATCTACCAACTCTCCTTTGAAATACTTGTCGTAAGAGGTTAGGTCGAAGTGGCCATGTCCACACATCGCCATTAGTATCACTTTGGCTTCTCCTGTTTCTTTGCACCGGAGAGCTTCTCTTATGGTTGCAGCAATGGCGTGAGTTGGTTCCGGCGCCGGTATTATCCCCTCCGTTCTTGCAAACTTAATAGCACCTGCAAGAAAATAAATAACCGGAAAGTTGGGATTACAGTCCAATGCAAAATGTAAAAGGGAGTAAAGTTAGAAAACCTAATTTGAGGCAAATAATTACTTTCGAAACACTCGATTTGAGGAATTGAGACTGCTTCCATGAAGCCTTGCTCATAAACATGTGAGATCAAGGGTGCCATCCCATGGTACCGTAATCCACCTGTTGAAAAACCAAACATGAATCAAGAATAAAGAATTTTAAAATTCAAGAAGCAAGAACCAATGAACAAGAATCAAGAATCACTAACCAAGAACCAAGAATTCAATAAAACAAGAAGCAAACAAGAATCAAGAATCAAGAATCAATAATCAAGAAGCAAGAACCAATAATCAAGAATCAAGAATCAATAACCAAGAATTCAATAAATCAAGAATCAAGAAAACAACAATCAAGAAGCAAAGAACCTAAGAATCCCTAGATTTAATGGGTTCAAGATCTTGGGTTTAAAAGCTTACTTATTACTAGCACGGACAAAACAACAAAAAGCCAAAAAGAAAAAGAATCAAGAAATTAAGAATACCAACAACAAATGAACCAAAGAGTTCATGAAATCAAGAATCAAGATTAATATATTACCAGCATGGATAGGGTCAGGAATGAAGTCATGCCCTAAAGTATGCATCTTCATCAAAGGAGTCAATCCAGCTGTATCCCCGAAATCATAAGCGTAAACGCCTTTGGTGAAGGAAGGACAAGCCGATGGCTCAACGGCTCTTATAACAGGACTCATTTTGCCTTTGAGTTTCTCACGGATAAAAGGAAAACTCAAACCAGCAAAGTTCGATCCCCCACCAGTACAACCTATGATCACATCAGGCGTTTCCCCGAAATCTTCCATTTGCTTTATGCATTCTTCTCCAATAACCGTCTGGTGCAATAACACATGGTTCAACACACTCCCTAAACAGTATTTTGTATCCTCGTTTCTTGCAGCAACTTCAACAGCTTCTGAAATCGCAATGCCTAAACTTCCAGGACTCGATGGATCTGACTGGAGGATTCTTCTACCTGCCTCAGTAAGATCCGATGGCGATGGATGAACTTTTGCTCCCCATGTTTGCATCATTAACCTACGATATGGCTTCTGATGGTACGAATTTGCCACTTGCCATACCTGTAAATGTTGGAGTAGCATTCAAGAAAGGGCTAAATCTTCAAGATATCACTTCAAGAATGTAATCTTGTACTCACTTCGCAGTTAAGGCCAAAGAGACTAGAAGCAAAGGCTAAAGAACTGCCCCATTGGCCAGCGCCAGTTTCTGTCACAACGTTCTTGACGCCTTCTTTCGCGTTGTAATAAGCTTGTGGAACCGCTGTGTTTGGTTTGTGTGAACCAGCTGGGCTACCACCTTCATACTTGAAGTAAATCCTTGCAGGTGTCTGAAGAAGCTTCTCCAATCTCTTTGCCCTAAAATGGAAAGCGAGAACAATCAGATCCGATAAGAACTTCCTGTGACCTTAGAGTGATACTTTAGTAGGCTGATATATTCAGACTTTGGAATCTTGACAATGAAGAACAGAACAAATGAACAGATCAAATTCTCTTTATTATCTTTGAATCATCGATGACAAGAAGAGCTGATAACTAAACCTATGAAGAAACTAGTAACTCAGAGAGTAAGTTACTAAATTATAAAGAACTAGTAACTCTCCTAAAGAGCTAAAAGGCCCTACACAACCCAATAATTCAGAGACCCTTAAAGCATTTTTCTCCCACCTATTTACGTTTATACTGTTTCGAAAAATTAAATCACATTTTTTTGAATTTTGTTGATTTTCCGTAAAATAATTTTCAGTTTTGCAACGTGCAAACACAGATGCAAAACACACACGAAATAATTGTGCGTTTTTGTTTACAATACGAACACTTTTTGTCCTTAAGGTATATGTAAACATTATTGCAAAACGCAAATAAACAATCGAATCCTTATAGTATTCCATTTTATTCATTCATAATCTAATCTCATAATTATATGGAAAAAAATGCACACTGAATTAATTCTTAATACCAAAATCAAAATCAAAATAAATAGCAAGAGTGATAGATATAAACACATTCAAGCAATAATTACATATTTGACAAAAAAAGTAATAATTACATAAAATCAACATAAAACCAAAATCGTATAAATAATTCACAAAAAAAAAAAAATCATGAACCTGATAAGAGGAGTTGGACGCCAAAGCTTATAAATCTCAAGAACTTCCTCAGGGATATCGATAAACCTCTCTAATGTTGCTTCTTCTTTAATCAACTCATTAGGTAAAAGATGAGATAAATCTTCCGGTTTGATCGGTTCGAAAGTCTTGGGATGCAACGGTGGAGGAGGTTTAACGGAAAGATCAGCAATAAGATTGTACCATTGGTTTGGAATTTCAACAGATGATTTGTGATTACTAGATCTCAAAGCTGCTTTTGCTCTTAAGCTAAATCCATTTGAATTTCTTGTTCCTTTATTTGACTTTCTTTTCAGAGTTAAGTCATCACCTAATCAAATCAAAATCCATCTCAACACATTAAAAAAAAAAATGAACTTTGAAGCTTGAGCTTCAACTTCCCCATAAAAACACAAAAAAATCTTTTTGACAAACGAGTGTATATTAAAATTACATTTACCTGTAAAGAAAACTTTAGCTGAGACTGATTTGGTGAATGGGTTTGGAGGCAAAAGCAATTGAGAGGCCATTTCTTTGCAATTTCAAGGGATTTTGAGCTTTGACGACTATGAGACTGTGAGAGAAAATCTCATTGAACGGTGGAGCAAATAAATATAGGATAGGCAAAAGAGGACTTCCCGGCACCCAACGACATCACACTTTTTGAATACTATTTTGTTTTGTCTTCTTTTAATGTTTTTGGCATCAATATTCAATGACATTTGGAAAAAGCAAGCAACCATAGTTTATTAATCCACTCCCATTAATAATTTAATCCTAATGTATAAACTTTGAATACCACGCTCTGCTTGTAACTTAAACAATCTAAAATTCATACATTTACTTTTATAATTATCCGTGTTACGCTGCGGAATATTTTTCTAAATTTGTATATATTTTTAATATAATAAAATTATTGATATATTTTAAATGAGTATTATATTTATTTTTTATTAGCTTAAGTTATGTATTTATATGTTTTAAATCTGAATAAACATTATATATCATTATTTTTTTTATTTTTTAAAATTATAATCTACTATCAAATTTGTTTAGCTAACTATCTATAAATGTTTATGTAAGAATAAAACAATATATTTTTATGTACCTTCAAGCTAATGGTAGATGTAATTTATTTTCTCTACTAAATTGCTACTTGATCCTCTTTTGAAATTATATAAAGAAAATTGCTATTTAAAAAAATATTAATTAATATGATTATTTTAAATTATGAAATTTATTTATTTATCAAATATTTATTATAGACATATATTTCTAAAACTACCAAACTATAATCAATAACATTCATATCAAAATTATTACTATTACTTTAGAACTAAATAGAAAATTATATTTGAACTATTGAAATATCAATTTAATTGAAGTTAAAATAATTCAATTTTGATTACTATAAACATATTATAACTTGAAAAGTTAGCACAGAGAAATTTTATCTTTTTACAAAAACCGAGAAATTGTATTTTCTGACAAAACAAAAAAAAATATTTCCCACGAAACTGAGGAATCGTCTATTCCCGCCAAAACAAAAAAAAAATCATTTTCTTGTCAATCCTGGAATTTCATTTTCCTACCAAAACAAAGAAATTGCATTTTCCCTCAAAAACCAAAAATCACATTTTCCTGTGAGAACCTGTGTTTTTCCGTCAAAACAGAGAAATCAAGTTTTTTCACCAAAACCAAAAAATTTCATCTTCCTGCAAAAACAAAAAATAGTATTTTTCCGTCAAAACCAAAAAATTATTTTCCCGCAAAAATCAAGAAATCGTCTATTCCCATCAAAACAAGAAAAAATTATTTTTCTCGTCAAATCAAGAATCACGCCTTCCTACCAAAACCGATAAACTACAATTTTCCGCAAAAACCAAAAATTGCATTATCTCCTGAGAAATTGCGTTTCCCACGAAAACTAAGAAATCATATTTTCCCTCGAAAGCCAAAAATCAAATGATATGTGAAAAACTGAAAATTTGCATTTCTCATCAAAACCAAGAAATTGTTTATTCCCATCAAAATCGAGAAATTTTGATTTTCTATCAACCCGAGAAATTGTATTTTCTGCCAAAATTGTCAAATTACATTTTCCGCAAAAATCAAGAAATTACATTATCCATCAAAAGCCGAAAAATTGCATTTTCTATCAAAACCGAGAAATCGTATTTTTCGTCAAAATTAAAAAGTTGCATTTCCCTCGCATTTTCTCGTCAAAATCAAATTTTTTATTTCTCACTAAAACAAAAATTCACATTTTGCCGCCAAACCCGAAAATTCGTTTTTTCCGCCATTACCGAGAAACTATGTTTTCCTACCAAAACTGAAAATCACATTTTTCTACCAAAACCAAGAAATTCTCTATTTCCACCAAACCCAAGAAAATTTGTTCTCGGTAACCAGTAGAAATGCAAATCTCCAAGCTGTGGTGGTATGAGTTTCTCCTCATTTGCTTTCGCCTTCCATTTTTTTTTGTAAACTTTGGGCTTTTTAATGGGTCAGCAAAATAGTAAATTGATTTTATTAGTGTGTTAATAATATGTATTATTGTTATGTTTTTATTGGTTCAAATTTTTGCTGATATGTGAGCTTCTTATAACATAACGCTTTTTGCATTGTTGTTATTGAAGCATATTTGATGATGAGTCTACACTTTCTTCAATCATATACGTCTCTATCAAGCAAACACATAGTTAGAAATTCTAATTTTTTTGCTGTGATTTATTATTTGATTTTCGGTTTGGCAAAAATATAAAACAAAGCTTTAATTTTATTATTTATTATTATTTATTATTTGGGTTTGTTAAAAAAATAAAACAAATTTTTTTTATTTGCTGTTATTTATTATTTGGGCTTGAGCTTGACCAAAAAATAAAACTAAAATTAACAATAAAAATATATGAGTTTTTAATGGGTTTAAATTTAAAAGTTAAAATAAATTGATGACTTGTATTAATGGAATGTTTTTATTGGTGTTTTTTTTTGCTGAAATGTCATCTCCTAAAAGCTTGAAAATGCTGATGTGTCAAGCCATGGAGAGACTTATGGGTTATTGTTGTGTTGATTATTAAAATTAAATAGATATTAGAGAAATGTCTCTTCATTGTTTATATTAAAGCTTTGCATTTCTTTTAATCTTTTTTTCTTGTTTATCTCCTATTAATCATGTTTAGTCATCTTATCTTTTTGGATTTTGTGGTTAAGGTTATGGTTAGTGGGTATTTCTTTTTTTTTTTGAAATTAAGATAGATTATGGTGATTCTAATGATTGGGTGTTAGATCTTTACGTTTCCTTTTTTGTGTGATTATGTTAAATGCTTAGTACATTTTTGTTGAAGAGGTTGATCTTAGATTTTTATCTGCACTCCATATGTTTGATGAAATGTTTGAATGAAGTTCAATACTTCAAAATAGTCTTTAGAAAATCATAAATCTTGGTATCTATCATTCTTTCTTGAATGTGCTTAATGTTCAATACTATATTGGTGGATAAATTACCTTTAACCATTGATTATGCATGAGAATTTGAGTTAATATATGATCTATTATACAAGAGATTAGTAGCCTAGCTTAAGGGATTAGTTGTTTAGAATGTTTTTTGGCTTCATAGACTTTGTGATCGAATACTTGCTTATCATATATACACCATTAACTATGGATTTGAAATGTGATAAGATAAAAAGATTAGTACCATGAAAGTAGATTAGTCCATAATAAAAGTCTTTGCTTAGGGATCAATGTATTGAATTGTTGCCTGCACACCTTAAACATGATTTGGAATCATATAAATCACATTGCCTTAATCTTGAACTTTTATTTAATTTTTGAAGCTTAGTAATTACTCTGTTTTCCTCTGTTTTTATTATTCATTATTACACTTACATTGATTACTTTTAAGTTCTTTAGTATTTATAGTTTGAATTCTTTAGTTTTTTTTTCTGTATCATTTGGTTGCTTAACCTCTTTTGGTTTAGTTTAATAAGGTTCTGCATCTTCATTGAAGAATTAATAACCTTAAAATAGTTCAATGACATGATTTGAGTCTCAACAAACTATATATTTTGGTCAACCCACACACAATATTCATATACAATCAAAGTTAAAAATGGCTATCTATAGATTAATATAGTCTACTTATTTCTTTTATTGTGAACATTCATCTATTTTGAATGTGAACATTTCTTCTCCACATTGCATGTGATTTTTTTCTCTTTTGTTCTTCTATTATTTTTTATCAACAAATTCATCAAACTAAACTCAAGAAATCTCCATAAAAATAATTGCAATAAACTAACACTCCTATTAATTTACTTATAAATTTTAAATCCATGGATTGTAAAACGAAACTGGAAAAATACTGTCCACAAAGGAAACATTAGACAACCTACTTCTAACACAAGTACACAACGTGCCAAAGTATCAGCCATAGAATTTACAAATCAAGGATTCAAACCAAGACTCTTATTGCTGTTAAAAATGAATCCTCTCTCCATCATGTTGGTGATATTGCGACATTAATGTTCTTATAAAGTTTCAACAACCAATATAAAAAAGTAGTACATTGGTGGCCAAGAACACTTCTAAGGTGCTCATTCATATAGTATCTTCAATAATCAACCCAAAAAAATATTACTTGTCATATTTTAATGGACCATCAGTCAATCATCGATCAACTAGTCACTTTCTACATTTGTAATATTATCTAATATCGAAAGTTAGAAGGATTTAAACCAAGACTCTTGTTATTGTTAAAAATGGATCCTCTCTCCATCATGTTGGTGATATTGCGACATTAATGTTCTTATAAAGTTTCAACAACCAAAATAAAAAAATAGTACATTGGTGGCCAAGAACCTACTTCTACGGTGCTAATTCATATAGTATCTTCGATAATCTACCCAAAAAGTTGTATATTATAAAGGACCATCAGTCAATCATCAATCAACTAGTCACTTTCTACATTTGTAACAAGGGATTATCATTTCATATTGAAAGTTAGAAGGGATCTTAGTTAATATATAAAAAGTATAGACTAATCCATTCGTTGCTAATTGATTTTTGAATTGTAAATTCATATAATTTAACACAATCCAATTCAATCTGATCCAACTATCAATCAGTCCAAAATTGGTGCTGTCAATCCAAACCCGAACATATCAAAATCAATGCTCAAAGTAACCATTGTCTCGAGGGGCATATTAAAAAATAATATTTACACATCGGAAGTTAAAAGAAATTTTAAGTAATATATAAAAAGCATAAGTCAATCTATTTATTGCCAATTAGTTTTGGATTGGAAGCACATGTAACATATTTTACCAAAAACATTACCATTCTATAAAAAAATATATCAACGTACCAATATCACAATTCCCATCTACTATATACCACAATGGACATTGATCTATGACAAAAGGACACTATATCCTGCCTTGCTTTATATATTTTGACTCTTTTAGATTACGAAATTTGTTGGTTTCTGACTTCGTCTTTTATTATTTGATATATTCAGTTTCAAAATATGATATTTGTGGTTATAACTTGATTAGATATTCTACTTCTGTTAACACTATTATATATAGTAACACTCCATAATCAAGCTCCGTCACCAGTTTACAATATCTCCAACTTGCTTACAAATTTGTTAGCAACAAAAAAAATGCATTACTTTCATTACATATACACATCCCAAAATGTATCAAGAAATAACTAATCTCTTAAGCGAATCAAATATCATTTTTGAGGATTCCTCTGCGAAGGTGTGCTTATTTCGCAGGCGGTTTAAACAAAGAGCACAATATCATGTAAAATAGCTTGTCACATGATATTGTTTACAATACGTGCAAAAAAAAATACATGTTAAGTCGATAAAGGAATTAACTTATAAACGATTAGACCATTTGTCTTTTTTTTTCAAATAAAAATTGGTAGAATTTAGCTATCTAGTGCATAGGCTCAACAATACATGTTACACATTTATAAACATAGTACTAGTAAGTGTATACACATGGTAGAAACGAACAGAGACTATGTGGAAGAAAGCTGAGCAAGCCATGGAAGTAGACGCTCATGGACAAGATCCGGACGATCATCTTGCGGGCAATGTCCAACGCCTTCAAGAACATAGAGGTTGAAGTTAGGTAATTGATCCGGAAGTGACGAGAAGTACTTGCCTACAGGACCATCGAGAGGAGTTAACCCATCTTGGTCTCCCCATAAGACAAGAACCGGTTTGGTTATCTCCGGAATCAGCTTAATCGGGTTTGGTCCAGGTGGACCGGTTAAGATCGAAACAAATGCATCTAGTGCACCTTCGCCATTTGCTGGTCCAGCGATAATCTGACATAACAATGTCAGATAATAATATGGTAACAATTATTTGTCATTGAGATCAGGGTGTGAGTAAACAGGAACAATACCTCTACAAGTGTATCGTCTACATTTTCCTTGTTGATGTAAACATTTGACAAGATGTTCTTGAGATTTTCCCTGTGTTTTTGTTCATCCATCAATGTGTCAGTGTTAGATCATCTCTTGATTAAATCCTTTCAAAGACAGGATTGAAACCCTGTAATGACGACATGCCTGTCTTTAACGCGGTTGAAGAGTGCGGTAGCAATTCTTTTCTGCTTGAGTAAGAAGTCGATAAGCAAGAGTAATGGCATCAGCAGCTTGATTCTCCAGTCGTCAAACACGGCCTTGTTGTTCATACCACCAGCACAGTTCAGCAGAACAAGACCTTTGACCAGATCTCCTTGTGATTCTGTTTTTTTTTTTCAAATAGTCACACACAAAACTCAGGTCTTAGATCACAAGATAGCTGATAATATACAATATAAGAACAAAGTTTCATCTCTACCATTGTGATCTGAAAGATCAATCAATAACTAAATCAAGATTCATGGTTGTTGATACCTTAAGCTAAAGCAAGCTATTATACTTTATCTAAGTGCATATCATGAGACGCATAAACAAGTTTAACTAGTGAAAGAGACTTAAGACCTGAAGCAGCGATGACGCAAGCAAGGCTTCCAACAGAGTTTCCAATCAAAATAGTTGGTTTTTGAACTACTTCCTCCAAGAAGCTGAGAATCAGCTGCAATAACATAAACTCAGTCAATTAAACAAACATAAAAAAAAACACTTCTTTAAACATTACAATACAGTGAAGAGTTAAATTCAAAGATGGTTACTTCAGCCCATGACTCCATTGTATAGCTAAAACCAGGTGGCTTCTCTGAAGCACCAAATCCAAGAAGATCAATCGCATACACTGTATGGTTTTTGGAGAGTGCGTTTATGTTCCTGAGATTAAAAAAAGTATATATTTTTTTTCTTGTAAATGCAAATGCCTAATCACAATTTGAATTCACCAATTCTAAGAACCCTGAACCCATGAATCAAAGATTAAGCTTTCAAATTAGGGATTCTGATACCTTCGCCAGTGAGGAATCGAGGCGCCAAAGCCATGAACCAAGAGAACAGTCTGACTCGCCGGAGTTACTTCTTCCGGCGAACTCTTCACGAAGTAATTTATGGAATATTCTCCTTTCCACTTCCATTTCTTACTCATCTCTCCGATCTCAGACAATTCCACCGCTTCCACTACTCCTCCGCCGGAAACCGCCGCACTCGACGACGCCGTGGCTCTAACACAGACGCGAACTATCCGGAGATTCATCCGTCGTAACGAAACCACCGTCGATGTCGTCGTCGTTCGCGCCACCATTGCCAGCGGCGGCGGCGCCATTCCCATCCATGTCAGAGCTCTCATCGTCTCTCTCTCTCTGCTTCTTCGGTTATCCTTTTTGGTTAATTGCCATCAGAGAAGATCTGACGTGGCTTTCTCTCGATTCGAATAGTTTCGGGACAAACCGGTTAACGAAATAACTCGCTTGGGAAGTGAATGGCGTCCACGTGGCGTTTTCTTGATGGTTAACGAAGATAAAAGAGATATCAAACTAGATTCGCATGTAAAGGACCTAAAACGCAAAATCCGTGTTTCTTCGTACAGTACGATGTCGTTTCGAGTTGTCGTCATGCCGGCTTCAGTTTACTAGTATTAACATTCATACCTCTCATAAGTCTATTATTATTCGCATTATCGCATAAGTTTATTATTATTCGCATTACCTCCATAGAAAACTCTAGATCTTAAAAAAGGCTCTTTTTTTTTTAATTTACGAAAATTAAAGGGAAAGCAAAAAGAAGATAGAGTTTAAAGGGAAAACAAAAAGAAGATATGGTTTGAAAGGAGCTAGCGTCTCTAGTCTCCAGTCTCCATCATGACGACACAAAGCAAAACACGATCTTGTTCGAGTTCAAGTAACGAAGAAGCAAAACTCGAAGAGATCCCATTCGATCTCGTTATAGAAATACACTTGAAGCTGCCTGCAAAGTCTATAGCGAGATTTCGCTGCGTATCGAAGCTATGTGGTTCCACACTCCGCAGTCCAGGTTTCACTGAATCGTTCTTCACCATATCTTCGTCTCGCCCGAAACTTCTGTTCGCATGCCAATCAAACGGTAAAACGTTCTTCTTTTCATCGCCGCAGCCTCGAGATTCGTCTCCTTTAACCGCCAGTTTTCAAATGAGCCTGCCAACTATTTATCCCTTTGACATTTATGGTCAATAGGCTTTTGGTCTAACCAATGGTAGTGTGCAATCAATGAGTAACCTTAGCACAGGACAAGTCTTAACCTTACCCGAAATGAAAAAGGGTTTGTATGTAGTAAAAAGGTGTTTAGGGTATGATCCGACTGACAAACAACTCAAAGTATTATGCATGACCGAGTCTAGCTCCAGCGGTTATCAGCATCAAGTTCTAACATTAGGAGCTGGGGAAAATCTCTCATGGAGAAGGATCACATGTGATATACAACATGATGCTGCTGATGATTGTGATGTGATATGCGTCAATGGTGTTTTGTATTATATAGCCTCGGTTTATCATGATCACCATTGGATGGCTGCTATAGTGTGCTTCGATGTTAGATCCGAGAAATTCACTTACATCAGGGAAGCTCACGACATGGACCTACTTAGCTCGGGAGATCGTGAATCAATTCTGGTAAACTACAAGGGTAAGCTAGCTAAGCTTCATCTCCACGTTTCATTTGGCAGTTTTCATAATATTCAACTGTGGGTTCTTGAAGACGCCGAGAAACATCTATGGTCGAGTTGTACCTACGATTTGCCTTCTCTTTGGAATGATATATATGAAGTTCCATGGCCTAACTTATGCTTTGCTGGAATGACTAAGAAAGGTGAGATTGTGTTGTCGCCTGATCAGACATTAAGGGGAAAGAAAAGACTAATATGGTCGCTAAAACAGGTAACCAATCGGTGACTATGGTGGACTATGGAGAGAAAACTGGTGGGACAGAGGAGAAAGATTATCAATCAGCTCGGAGTTAAACGATGGATGCCGGCCACACTCATCCGATCGTCGAAAAATAAGGATGTTGCAATCGCAAATATAGCTGGAGTGAATATACACAACTGGTTTATTAGTAATTGAATTTTAAAATTTTTAAAAACATCATTAAAATCACAAAGTTCTGGAAAAAGTAACACAAATTTCTGTAGAAGCGTTCCGTTGCTATTGCAGATCCTTTGACACAATGGATTCTCGGGTCGATTTGGACCTCTCACAACAATTACATCTTCAATACAAAGTTTTTTAAACCAAAAGAAACAATGACAAGAGCTAGTATGTAGATCAGACGGGCTTGGCGCAGCCATATCCAAGCAGCTGGTCTTGGATGACAAATCAGAGACTCTATAAGAGTTCAAAAGCTGCCTTTTTTATCCTCTCCTCTAATGGTGGAAGATAAACCCTTTTTTCAAGCTGTGGAATTAGAAATCAAGAAGATTTATGTAGAGTGCAACTCATCTCAACTCGTTAGTGTCGTTTCCTCGGCATCCTCATTCTTTGATCTCTATGGCCCCAATTTTCTCAGTTTCCTTTTTTTTAGATGGTCGTAAGAATTCATAAAGAAAAAAAATTACCTCTAAATTTTTTTTCTTTCTCAAATTTCATCTTATAAAGTGGTATTTGGATCTACTATCTTTTTAACTACAAATTACCTTACAAATCATTCCAAATTGTTTTTGATAATTTTTATTGTTGAAATCCCTTTTTTCAATAAGCTGGGATATGAGAGAATTTTTATATTGATTAATCCAATAAGCTGAGATTTTGAATAATTTTTTTAAATACTAGATTTAATAAGAAGAGATTTGAGAAAAAAATAAATTTATCCCAAATCATCAATCGAATATACCCCCAAGTAATTTTATATATCCTTATCTAATCTATGGATATAACACAATAACTTAGACTTTAAAACTTCAACAATGGTTTAGTCTATTGTAATTTATACTTTACATGTGAATTAACATACTTATTTTTTTTGATTTTATTGGATTACTATTTTTCCTTGGTTTCAATGATAGTGTTCATATGTTTCCTTATTGGTTTATATATTTATGATCTTTGGTTGGTTCATACTCTCTTTAATGAGATGGTACTGACATTTTCGAAAATTTAATTGGCCTAGCTAGACCTGTATGATGGATACTAACAACCATTAAAACACCATATATTTGATGAGTTTTATGCTAGTCATATATAAGATGAGTTTTTTTTACAACAAAAAACGATTCCTATAAATTTACGCTAGTTCAAATAAGCTAGATTTATGAGTTAACCAGTCCTGAACCATCAGATTTACATGACAAAATATGAATCGCAAGCTCCCTTAGCAAGGGTATCCGCTTGGATATTACAATTACGAGAAAGAAAAGATAGAGAAAACTCTGCAAAACTAGAACGTAATAAGCTGAATTCTTCTAATTCAGATGAGAGATTTGGCCAATCCTCGTCTCCATCAACATGCTGCAGACAATCGGTGTTAAGGTATATAGAAGAAATGTCATTTTGCTGAATGGTTTTCAATGCCCATAGTGTCGCCTCCATCTCAGCATGGAGTGGGGAAAGCGGGTCATTCCAGCAAATGATCCTAGGAGCTGTATGGAGTTGTGATGGAGGAGAACAAGACCGCCTCCAAACAATTTATCTGCACTTACCCATGATGTATCTACTTGACATTGGTATTCAGTACCTGGATCCGAATTGTCAAGTATCAGTACATCTCGGGTTTGTGGTTCAGCTTTCACCAAATTTGCAATTTCCCATGTTTTTTTCTTTTTTGAGACGCAATCTCTAGTGTATCTATTGTAGAGATATCTTTTCCATTGAATACTTTGTCGTTTCTGGCCAGCGGCGGCGGCGCCATTCCCGTCCATGTCAGAGCTCTCATCGTTTCTCTCTCTCTCTCTTTCTTCGGTTATCCTTTTTGGTTACTTGCCATCAGAGAAGATCTGACGTGGCTTTCTCTAGATTCGAATAGTTTCGGTACAAACCGGTGAACAAAATAACTCGCTTGGGAAGTGAATGTAGCGGAGCGTCCACGTGGCGTTTTATTGATGGTTAACGAAGATAAAAGAGATATCAAACTAGATTCGCATGTAAAAGACTTAAAACGCAAAATCCGTGCTTGCTTCTTAATAGTGGTTTAAGGCTTTAAGCCAAGCCTAAATAACAGTACGATGTCGTTTCGAGTTGTCATCATGCCGGCTTCAATTTACTAGTTTTAACATTCATACCCCTCATAAGCCTATTATTATTCGCATTATCGCATAAGTCTATTATTATTCGCATTATTGCATAAGTTTATTATTATTCGCATTATCGCATAAGTCTATTTTTTTTTTAACTAAACCATATATTTATTAAGAATTAATAAGATCCGAATACAAGGCAGCTATAACCGAAGTCGGAGGATAATAGCAGTTTGAGTTTACAACATAAGGAGAGGCATGGTGAGCTAATAAATGGGCGACCATGTTACAACCTCGTTTTACATGATTCAATGTAGCATTGTTGAGTTTGGATAACCAAAATTTAATATCAGAAATGAGATTTGTAACCGTTATATCTTGATCATTACTGTGAAGTAAATTTATTAGAGCTTGACAGTCACCCTCAAAGCAAATATTGTGAAGTCCGGTTTAGTGTGCATGACATAAAGCAGCCAATAGTGCCTTTCCTTCCGCCTCAAGGGAGGATATCGCAGAGCCTAGTATTGTGGATCCGAAGGTAACATTCTGGCCGTGACAGTCACGTATAATCCATCCTGCTTTAGCCTGTCGTGTGTGGGGATTATAAGTTGCATCATAGTTGCATTTATAAGAGTGTTATAGCGGGCGAGTACAAAAGGTCGATGCAGTGAAGGAGGGGGACGTAGAAGAGGAGACCGGAGTAGGAGAAGTAGCGTTGATCCATCCCTTAACCTCCGCCACAGCTTTGTTAATATCTGTAGGAATTTTTATTCTTTCATTTTTGAAAATGAGATTATTCCGAGTTTTCCAGATTCGCCAAAGTAATCAGAAAGGTAAAAGTCGATCAATTTCAGAAAGTGTAGTAATTGCTTGAGCATCTACTAGTTGACCAATGATTTCATCAGTATTTAGAGTAGGAATTGTAATGAAGTTGAACGGTGTGTTGGACATTCGCCAAGTAGACAGAGAAACAGGACAACTGAAAAAAAGATGGTGTATGGTTTCTGGTTCCAAACCACATCGAGAGCATGTTTCATCTATAAGCACACCACGGCTACGCAACTGTGTGGTAGTACCAATTGCTTTTGAAAGAATTTTCCAGAGGAAGTGTTTTATTTTAGGCATAAGGGGTAACTTCCATATTTTAATTTTAAGCAAAGGGTCACCATGTGGTATAGGAGTGCGTTCATTTGGTTTTGGGGTAAGTGGCGTAAAAAACGATAGCCTGATCGAACAGAGTATTGGCCATTTTTGGTGTAGTTCCATCAGATTCTGTCCTCTCTTTTA